TACTTGACAAAAAACTGTATCATGTAAATTCCGTTATATAATCAGAAAATACACATGATCTGAAGTTCCCTGTTTTGTTGTCTTACCTGTTATACCATCCATGTACAACAAGATGTGTTTGTGAAACACTGATGCTCCCACATGGCAACATAACGAAGATTAAACTTTTCTCAAATGCAAATTTAATATACTGGAACCCAGAGAATGGTATTACAATTGTGACATATGAAAGTAGATCAAGGTTTAAGTTTTTTTCATAAGTACGGAAATCTCCAAGGTCAAGGTCAAAGGGCCAAGATGTTCGTATCCAATGAAATGAAAGGTCTTTATACAAAAAAATACATATTTGAAGTATAAAAGTCCTGGTATCTATTGTTCAAAAGGATATGACCAAAGTAAAAGTTTGGAATTTTTGTGTAAAAGTGGGTCAAACTCCAAGGTCAAATTTTGTGGTACCCAAAGAAAGGTCTTATCACAGGGAATACACCACATGTGAAATATGAAAGTCATAACTCCACTAAATCAAACGTTAAAGGCAAGGTTAAATTTTTTGCAGACAAACAGACAGACAGACAGACGGACACAACAAAAACTATATACCCCCCGAAACTTCATTTACAGGGGGGGGCATAAAAATGTATATAAGGTAACAGTTACTCAAATATCATTAGATATTCTTCTGTATTAATTATCTTCATTCTTTTCATTCAATTTTTAGTTATTATAAAGCCAAGACTGAAGAGATCAGTCATTTCTAAAATTATAATAAATACCTAGCTTTTACTCCTCACTCGATCATTCTGGCAAGTTCAGAATTACTAGTATAACCTAGGCTATTTTTTTAGCTTGCTGGAAAGACCCAAGAAGATGAAAGGACAAAATTGTAGCGTACTGGAATATTATAAACTAGGTGCCCATTTGTTCTATTGGTCTCTAATTTTTCACCCCAGATTGAGATAACAGTAAAACACAGAATGCTTATATAGCAGAGTTCATGAGCTGTGTCATTGTCAAGTCCACTCTAGAATTCATTATTCTGAATGGAGACCACACCACCCCCTAAGTACCTTCTTATTACTAATTCATCAATTCAGCAAATTAAAGTTCCAGTGGTTCTGATATGTACCTCTGTGTTTTATGATGGCTACAGTACTAACCCACCTCTCTTTTTTAAAAGAATTGTTTGTAAGTACTACAAAATAGTGATATGTTAATGTCTTTTTCCATTTCAGTCGCTCGCGTGGCGCAGTCGTTAGAGCATCTGCTCTAGAGATGAAAAGTAAGGAGCTGATCCTAACGTCGCGGTTCGAATCCCACTGTGGGACGTGGAGACTGGTCCTTCGGGTGAGACCGTATAAACCGAGGTCCCATGTCACAATAGGTGCCGGCACAAAAAAGATCAATTACTGCTCATGAAAGGGCCGTAAGTGCCGAGTATAGGATACAATGTGCAGCTCTCCACCTGCAAGTGGTGGCGTCTCCATAAGAACGAAAAATTCTTGAGAGGGACGTTAAACAACATACAATCAATCAAATCTTCCATTTCAAAGTACAGCGATTGATTTTCAGATACTTTCAAAACCAATAGACCTTTTCACATAAATAAGTTTCAACCTTTAGAGAAATCTTAACGAGGTTTCACAAAAATTCGTAGAGGTCCTTGCCTGTAATATTTAAAAAAGCTTTATGAGAGCCTTTATCTTTCACATAGAATAGTAGCTACAGAACTGCAGCTCTCTGCTTGATAAAATTCGGACAGATAAAGCAGAGAGCTACAAATCCAAGCGTTGTAAAAACCTTCGATTTACTCCTACGATTTTTTGTCGCTACTTCAGGTAATTTATTTCGTGTAGTTTAAACTTTCTCTGGTTTTTAGAATTGTATCCTATAATTAAATATATATTTAACTCTTATTTTTTTATGATTTATTAAAGTTTATTTACCTTTTAACGGCCGGAAACAGTCCTGTATATAGTTTTGTAGTTTCATAGTTTGTCGGTTTAAAAGAGTTCCGTTTTGACGTCCGTAACCAAAAACAGCCATTTGTTAGCGTTGAATGGTTAATTAAATTATCAAGAATTTAAGTTAAATGTATGATTATAATTATAAAATACCTTTTTAAAGCTGAGGGAAGTATGACATAGAAGAAAAAATACCCGACGTGAGCAACAAAAAATCGTCGGCGTAAATCGAAGGTTTTTACAGCGCTTGGATCTGTAGCTCTCTGCTTTATCTGTCCGAATTTTCTCAAGCAGAGAGCTACAGTTCTGCAGCTAATAGAATAGTACCTAAGCTACATTAATTCAATATCCCGTTATTATATCCATGGTAATCATAGAAAATATACCTTATGTAGAAAAACGAATGCTAAAGGTACTGAATAACCAGTTAGTTTAGCCCATTAAGCAAAACCAGGGGGCCAAGTACAGCTGTTGTGTACTTTGCAAACAAAAAGTTCGTTTTTTGGCCAGTGTGCAACTTATTACCATGGCAACCCAAGAATTACTCTATGGAATCTTTTCATCAACAGAGATATTTTGATATATACTACTTGTATCTATTTGTTTTTATTTTTCATTCAGAAGGCCTTTTTTTGGAAAATCTCATTTCAACTTCCAAAATAAATGACTGTATGTAAAAAGGTAAAGTGGTCAGAAAATTGGTTGCTAGGTATTCAGAATTGTTGCCATGGGTTAATAAAGTAAAATTTACGTATTTCAAACCCATACTAAATTGACAATTTGCCAAATTACAATTTTGAAAATAATTGTCGATTTATTTCTAATATACATATTTTAAAAGGGCGAAAAAATAACTGTTTTTGCCTTGTTGCTAGGGAAAATTTTGTGTTGCCATGGAGATTAATCATTATAAATTATTCTTTCATTTTAAAATTGTATGAGAGTTATTTTCTATTACTTGAAAAATTGTATCTGCCACAAAAACATAAAAAATTTATAAGATTTTTGACCAAACCCTTTACCATTTTTCACTTTTTAGTTATCAAAACATCCAGTTTTGTTGCTAGGCAACGAAGAGGATTTTTCAAAAAACCCACGCTTTCAAAGTCAATCTGTAAAAGAGAAAGTTCTCTACTTTTATGTGAAAGTCATGCAAAATCTGTATTAGCTTGGTATTTTTTTTTAAATTGACCTTGAATATTGTCAAAATCAAGGAAAATGCTGAATCAGCAAAAATGCAAAAATATACATATATTCTAATGTCTACCATAGTACTAGCTTCTGATAAAATATCAATGTCTTGTGTGTTTTAAACAAATAAAGTGTGTGTCTTTATCATACCAGTAAATGAGAATCATTGTTAAAGTTTTTATATATAATTTCAGGCTTTAAAGATCAGTAATTTTCAGTGCCTTCAAATAGAAAAATTGGCTGGTTGCTAAGGAAATTACTTTGATTAGGTTTCCATAGTAACCATGATCCAAAACATTTTTTATTTTACATATATGGATCATAGTGCAAGAGAAATCTATGTGTGGAAAATCATCTAAATTCTGAGAACCTTCATGTATCATCTTTTCTCTGATTTTTATATGGACTGGTACTTATATCCCATTAGAGATTTGTAATGTTTGTCAAAAAATTTTTTTCCCAATCGACCACACTTCGTTCTCTTCACTTTTTTAATTTGATTAGCAAAAATCTGATCGTATACTATACTATCTACATACGATACATAAATAGTTCACGACTGTAAACTTTATGGCATAAAAAATAAAATGTTTTATTAAATAACATTATCATTTCATATATAATTGAAAATAATATATACATTTTGTACTTATATACTAAAGTAATTGACCTGAGTAATATTTTATTCAGTCTATCTTTTAGATATGAGCCTTACATTTACAGAAATTTGGCAAAATAAAAACGCCGTAATTTTTGTGTTGGTAAGATCCCAACGACCATGAGAACTCATCATCTGCCAGTCATAAAAATATTTAGATCATTACAATAATTCGCAAGTGTAAATACGGAAGAGTGTCATGATGTTTGTTTATATATTAAGGTAAGTCTATTTAGTTTCCATGCTCGACTGACTCAGTATACCACATAATCTTAAGTTTAGAGTTTGTTTTTTATTTCTTTGAAGGAGTGTGGGGGGTCCCTCATACAAGTCCAGTTAAAGGCCTTTATTTCAAATCATTGTCAACAGTTGGCGATAAATGCATGACGGATTTTAACTTGAGTAGATTTTAAATCTTAAAATGGACTTGTTGGGCATAAAAAGTCAAATTTTTATGATGTTTTTATTCTATATAGGCCAGCGAGCTACAGATGTACAACTACGCGTGTAAGTCCTGGGCTAGTTTTGAAGTTAAAGTTATTGTTTTATGTTGACTTGTCGTCTAACATCTTGAACCAGGGTAAAGCTTTATGGGTTTCTACACAGTCTGTGCATGGCCGAATACAAATAAGAAATTTTACAAGACAAATAAGAAATCATGCAATGAAAATGGAAAATAAAGAATGCAAATGGAAAATTATAGGAAAAAATTGAAAATTATAGAAAAAAACAAATGGAAATACAGATGGAAAATTATAGAATACAAATAAAATCATACAATACAAATGAAAAATTATAGAATACAAATAAAAATTAAACGATACATATGGCATGTCAAACGTTGCAATATTTGATAATCTTGTGATGTATATTCAAAATCTTGTGATGTATGTTCGAAATCTTGTGATGTATATTCAAAATCTTGTGATGTATATTCAAAATCTTGTGATGTATGTTCGAAATCTTGTGATGTATATTCAAAATCTTGTGATGTATGTTCAAAATCTTGTGATGTATATTCAATATCTTGTGATGTATATTCTAAAACTTGTGATGTATATTCTATAATCTTGTGATGTATATTCGAAATCTTGTGATGTATATTCTATAATCTTGTGATGTATATTCAATATCTTGTGATGTATATTCGAAATCTTGTGATGTATATTCTATAATCTTGTGATGTATGTTCGAAATCTTGTGATGTATATTCGAAATCTTGTGATGTATGTTCGATAATCTTGTGATGTATATTCGAAATCTTGTGATGTATGTTCGATAATCTTGTGATGTATATTCGAAATCTTGTGATGTGTGTTCTACAATTCAGTGATGCGTGCAATAAAATTGCATGACGCAACAGAAAAGTAAGGACAATTTTCATTGGTTAGAAATAACGAAAGTAGCCGGAGCGGTCGTAATGCACACATTGACACAACTTCGCAAGCATGAAATTGGCGAATTCAACCTAAAGTCAAAATTATAGGTAATAGAAAAATTGTTTTGGTATCAAGAAGCACTAAATCAGTCATAACGTGAAAAGTGAGAATCAAGAACATTAATTTGATTTGTTTGAAGGTACATCAAAAACAATTGAGTGGCTTATTGCTGGACTAAAGGATGTTTTATCCTATTTTTACGTCCTCATATTGTAGTGATGTTGATTAATCGGTATGATTTATTCTATATTGGTGCTAGTTAGAATAATCTAACTGTGTCTCGGGACAAACTCTCACCACGCAGGGTTCGAAATTGCATGGCCCATTGCAGCTGCATTGACCGTAGCACTAGTCCAGGGACGACTTTGCAATAAATAAATAAATAACACGACAAATTTTTAGGAGAAGGTGAATGTCAGGAAAAGATTAATTGCTATGCATCATTGAATATTGTCATTCACAAATTTGTCCAATTATTTTTATAGTAAATGTATTGAGCCGGGCTCATTTACAGGATAATGAACAAGGACTGTGGTGACAGTTTAAAATCACGTTCAGACGTTTAGAGAATATGTAATACACACAAAAATATCTCAATGGCATGTATAATATTAAATAGTTTTAAAAATAAAATAAAATATAGCTAGAAATTAACAGCGAAAAATATTTATCACGTATCGTTTCGGGGTAATCCGGTTTTATATACAAACAGAAGTAAATAAACACCAATGCAGCAAGATTAAGGTCAAACGTCTCTGCACTGATGTGTTCTCAGCGGGGAGATTTGCATCAAGTCATTAACCCCTTCACTTCCGTACCGGTCAAATTGACCGGTGGCGCGTTAAAACAGGACTTCGCGAAAATAAGATCTCCGTATCTATTTTGTGGTAGCATGAAGGTATATAAGCTATATATCATCTTTTTGGAAATTTTCTCTACTTTTAAAATATCTAAAAAGATTATATCTTGATTGCCGGTATTTAATCGATTTTACGTTGTAAAGACAAACGAGACTTTTTGAAAATGACGTAATTTTCCAAAGCGATTGCAGATTTTCCAGACGATTGACAATTTTTTTCCTGATTAACTTTATAAAAAAGCATGGTATATTCTTAAAGCATATTTTCTCTACTTTTAAAATATGTAAAAATTATTGTTATTACTTTAAGGTATATTTTAAAAACGAGAATTTTCTTGCACTTATGTGTTTTTTCTCGATTTTATTCATAATATTTAAACAAAGCTCAGTTTTACGTTTATTTCTGTGTTGAAATAGGGAAAACAAAATAAAGCTGGTAAAAGTAGAGAAAATTTCCTTTCCAACAAGCCCTTATAGTTTTTCTTACGCTCAGTATTTTCTTAATTACGATAATTTGAATTGGTGACCTTTGCATAGTTTTTATGGAAAAATCGGTCAATATTTACATGTAACGTCAAGGTCGATATTGTTGCGTCTTACTCGAAACAACAAATTCTTTTATAAGACTTTTTTGACCATTTAAATATATTTTTTTTTTAGATAAATGCATAATATATTAAAAAAAAATAGATTGCAAAAAACAAATATATACTTTCGTTCTGCCTTTTGTGAAGTGAATGTTGATTTATTCATCTACATGTGCATGTAATGATGTATATTTTATGATGTGATATACAATATTGATAAAAATTGTAGATTTCCAAAACGTCGATCTTTACTTAAAAAAAAAATCAATCAGATTTTTAATATTGTTGTATCTTGTTATACTGTATACTTATTAATTTGCAATTTAATTAAATCTATATTTAACAATACAAAAACTTGCATTTATATATAAATACGACTCATCACTGTATGAGTTGATACGAATTGAAATAAACACGTGTTTCCGCTTTGGTGTAAACATGATCGAAATCTGAACGTCAATTTTCATGATTATTTCACGACGAAGATCATCACATCAATGAATCAAATAATACGGACATGCCTTTGGTATTAGCAGGTAAGAATACGTGTATATTGACTGAAAAGTTTAAGTTTAAAACGCATTAGTTCACGTTCAAAAGAAAACTAAATGTACACATGTACTAGATCTTTATGTTTCAGTGTGCGTGTTTCGTATCGTTCAGCCAATTTTGCATTGCTTTTGAACTTTGATGCTTTTGACAATCACTCATAAGATCAAAGTAAAATCAAAGTTGTCATAATAATGGATAGTTGTTTTCAGTATCTATGTACCAGTGTGTACATGTACCACTTTCACATTGAAATTTTAGGTTGCTTTCAGCATATTCAACAATACTTTCATCTGTGAATACCCACTTTCTAAGCCCACCATGAACTACGAAGGTCAATTAATATGTAAGGACACCAATGAACAGGTAAATTTTTGTTTTGGTATTGAAAATTTCTGTATTTCTAAAATTTCAAAAAATAAAGTCTAATTTCATTTGTGTCATTCTCATGATATCGCATTCATACAAGTTTATAAACATTTGATTTATATTTTGAAAAATAAGTGTTTGAAACACATAATACTTATGATGCTTGATTATTCATACAGACACATTATTTAAACATGTAATATCTATCTGAATGAATGCCGAGATATGGAACAAGCTGTTTTTATAGACTGCTGTTGTATTTCCAATCTGCATAAAGTATGTGGTTAGAATTTACATTTTCTCAGTTTTTCAGACACTTTCCAATTATCCTACATCATATACATGGATGGTCAAACTCACTGGATGGTTTATCAACACTCCCATGCTCACGAACAGCCTTGCGCCAGGAATTTTGCCCTGAAGTAACATTGCAGTCTATTGTCTCCTTTCTTTTTACAACCCTGGCAGCCATGCAGGTATGAGAAGAACTAGTAAGTTGTTAGAACTTGTTTCTTATCCTTTTGCTTGTCAATAAAATATGTTCAAAACAAAACAAATCTATGAAAGCCATAAAGGGACATAGAATTTTTAAAATGTATAAAAGTAAACCGAGTTCTTGATTTATACAATCCGTTCTCTCAGATTGACAATCTGTAAGTGTTATAACGAATTGCCAATTCATTCTCACAGATTATCAATTCGTTCCCTCAAATTACACAATCCGTTATCTCAGATGTATAATTCATTCTTTTAATTTAAATGATTCATTCCCTCGGAATGTAAACCCTTCCCATGATTTCGTTTAAATTATTTATCTGTACATAGCGGATATGGTAATACATGTTTAAAAAATAGAATATTGTAGTATTTTACATCCTAACTTTTATCACATATTACGGTCCAAAATGAGAAAAATGCATGAACATTTTCAAATCCATGTGCTAGTACTGATATTTGTACAACAAAAAATCTTAGATTAGAATAATTGAAAGTCCTAGATAGTAAAAGTGAATATGGGTCTTGTGTAATCATAATATTTCTAAAATAAATATACGTTGAATTAGTTATGAAAGAGGTTGGAAACGACCAGTTGCTGAAACAAAATAAATAGAACGCACTTATTGATTAAAATGGTTGGATGTTTCTGTACATATGAAATTCAAGAGCACAGATTTCCAAAATCATAAGACTGACGTTGTAACAAATCAAGATGTTGAATTATCAATCTGTGAAAACAAATTACCGGTATGTAATTCGAGATCTCAAATTATGAATCAAGGGGGCGAATTAGTAATCCTTAAGATCGGATTGTGTAATTCGAGATCTCATATTATAAATCGAGGGAACAATTTAGTAATCTGTGGGATTAGATTGTCTAATTCGATTCGATATCATTTTTTACTTTTTTGAAAAATTTACGTGTCCCTTCCTGGCTTTCGTAGCAATCTAATGCCAGATTTTTTTTACATGTTGCGATGGCGTAAACAGAGGTCTGGCTTTAGTCAGATTGCCATATATGCTATTTGTTTTAGTTCAGTAATTTTACCATGATGGTTTACTACAAGGTTGTTGAATTATCAGTCCTGATACATTGACTTAACAATATCATTTAAATACTTGAATCACATAATGAATTCAATTTTATTATTAAAAGGAAAATCAAATGTAGTAATTTTAGCATTCTTAATTTTATTTATAAATATAAATTTATATACACAATGACATGTATCTGTTTCAAAATACTTAAATCTTTTACAGGATAGAAGCTGATCACTTGAACCTGACAGCAAATAATGTCTTGCACAAGTCAAAGAATTTCCTCCAGTCTTACAGAGAAATGACAGTTGATAAAAGAATGGTGGACACAAAGTAAAAGTGCACTTCAACATTTTGTTGAAGATTTCAGTCTGATTTGGAATTCATCTTGCAATATTTCTGGATTTGTATATTTGGATATAAGCGTCAAATTTTCAACTTATTGACTAAACAGTTTTGCATTAAATATTGCCAATGCTATCTATTATTATTATTTCCCTCCAAGATAACATGTCAAGTCTTTATTGTACCCCTTAAGCTCTGTTATACCAGAAAAATCTTGTAATGAAATCATTTTGTTTTTTTTTTTCTTTTTAAATTAAATCCATGAAAATAAAGATTATTTTTAATGGCATCAAGAGAATGGATTTCTTGTTTAACAAAAAGATAGTATACATGTTTTGCTAGGGCTTTGTAAGAAGCAGACCAGAATTCTTTGCTTGCAAATTTTGTCATTCGCCATTTTTATTACGTCAACTATTAGATGATTTATCCATGTTTGAAGCATTTCAAAATTGATATTTACTTACAGTTTAAAGCAGAATTCTGTACTGATATGACCTTGACCCCCTGAAGAACAAGAGTGTCAAGGTCAATTGTTATACAAAAATGTTCTTTCATCTTTATGGCCCATATCTTACAAAAAGTGTCTAGAATGTGTCCAGAATGTGAAATAACAAACATGTATATAGCCAAAAACTTTAAAATGATGTTGCTTAGCAACCACTTAAAGGTCATTAAACAGATATTTGAACTAAAATGATACATGGATATTGCAGTTCTGATCCCTTCTTGAGAGTATATTCAGAATTTTTCATTTCAGCATCCATTGTGTAAAATTATGGCAAGAATATTGAAAAGTGTTGAAAAAAAATTGATGAAACTTTTGCACTTATTTGACCTTTGACCTCCTAAAAATAGTTCTAATGAGGTCAAACTTTAAGACAATTTATCTGTTGTATGTCCCTTGTAATTTTATGACCTCACATCTAACTTTTATATGTGCTGGGATGCATAAATGTGTCTAGGATGAGTAAAAAATGAAAATTTCTGCCCAAAAATTAAAGAAATCTACGTTGCTTAGCAACCCCTTTTAAGTAGTTATATGCAGAATTGAAAAAAAAGTTTATGTGTTTCATGTAGTACAGTGTAATGCTCTTTTGTGGGTATATCCCAAATTTCCTATTTCAACATACATCATACTTAATATTTAGCTTAAAGATGAAAAAGTATCAAAAAATTCCATAAAATTTTGCACTTAATTGACCTTTGACCTCAATTTTTACTAATAAGGTCAAAGGTTGAGTATCTAAACAGTCATAAAATATCATCTGTAAGAAATTTCCTACAAAATGGTATGCATTATGCCTAGCTTTCCCCTTGGATAAAAAAAGTTAGAAATAATTTAATAATGCCATGTCAAAAGGCCTCCAAAATCACGTAAAATGCGCCGGAAGAGAAAGGGTTAATGATGTTCCCTGCATTTGTGTTAGCCTGATAGTACAACCTTTATTTATAGAATCAATCTAATTCAAATTAGATGTTAGATCCGCTTGCATACTCGCTACACTAACATCTAACAACATCCTGTTGAGGGTCACGTCGGAGGTCAAATTCTATCAATTAATCAAATCGCAGCTGGCAAAATCATCATATATTGTTGAAGCGAATAAATCTTGAGGCTTTCCGAATTCAACCTCTTACGTGACCCTCAATGGGATGACTTGTTAGATGTTAGTGTGGCGAGTATGCGAGCGGATCTAACATCTAATTTTAATTATATTGTTTATAGAATATGATGCAGACAGGGATACCTGGTGAAAACCTTTTGCACCCGTTGAATTACTTTGTAAAATATTAGTCAAAGGAGCCAGGAAAAAATATTAAACAATTTAATATTATGATAAAAATATTCAATTTACTATTTCTTAAGGTGTTGAATGGATTTTGTTTTCTCAACAGCGGCTGGTGCACGTACCAATGCATACTTTTACTCGTAAACTCAATTTGGCGGTGAAGAAGCAGCATTTTCTGTTGCTCACCGTCGCAATAGCTGAGCATTGCTCTACGAGCAATGTGCCCAGCTAAAAATCATAATATTTTTAATGATATATCATATTCTAGACTTGACATACAATAAACAATGATAAGAATTATTGTCGCATATCTGCAGTGATTTTCTTTGATCTCTCTGTGGTGATAATTTATCCCATATCACATGTGTGATAATACTTTCCAAACATGTTTCAAAGTTTTTACACTCTTTATCATACAGTTTTAAAGAACAGTTTTATGAGCTCATAAGTATATTAAATGGTTAATTTATCAAAACCTGCATTTAAAAATTCAGAAGTCTTAAGTTAAACCAAATTGTCCAGGGTATTCTTAGTAGGTATGTCAAAGGTCATGGTTAAGTGACTTTGTAAGGCTGGTATTTTTTCTTTAGTTTTATGGCAATCAGTGCACATGGTAAATAGCATAAAATTACCCTAAGAGGTCTTATGCAAGGAGATAGCTAATTAAAATGAACAAATGTAGTTCTATGTATGATGTATATAGAGACAATAATATTTCTTTTCTTTTTTCATTTTCAGGAACTTTACATAGGTCTACAGTTTTAATTTTGGACTCATGCACTAGGAATATCATATCAGCAGAATTGTGCCACTGAATCAAAGGGAACTCTTTTTTTTTTAGGTACGCATGATCGATGTAACTTCCTCGATGGTGTGTTGCTGTTTGCCCATGTGTATTTCGGGGTATAGGTATGTTTAGTCTCAATTTTCTTTCTTAAAAGCCGCATAAGGGGTATATTTTTTCTGATCTCAAATTTTGTCTAAGCATTAATCTTTTTTCTCATTCATGAATTATCTGCTGAGAGTCTAGTTAATTAATTTATTTAATTAAAGCTATATAGTAACATATACTAGTAGTGAAATTATTTCCTTGTGTGAGACCTAAAGAAAATCAGGTTACTCATTTTTATGACAATTTCTTTGATTTCGGGAGTAGCCTCCCCTTTTAAAGATCCAAAATGGTGATTTTACAGTGCGGCATGCAGTCTGGTCATCAACGAAGAGTTTTGACACCTGTAATACCCATATTTCTACCATTCACCTCTGTAACCTTTGTTGAGTTCATCAGACTGGTAAGAAAAACAATATTGTTAATTGAAATAATTTTATCAAGATAAATAAAATAATTAATGAAAAAAAAATTACATGAACAGACTCCCTCATATAAGAAAATGTCACATTTTACACATTGCAATTATACATCATTTACATATCCACATTTTCCCCATTTACACATGCAGTTGAATAGATTTAGTGCTTAATAATACATAGCAACAATTTTTACATGAATCCTAAGACAATTCACAAAATACATGAATGCATTAAACTGTGAAATACAGATTTTTTACATTTAATTAAAATGCACAGCATCAGTACCCCCCCCCCTTCACAATCTTGCAACTTTCTTTTTAATTCAAAGTCACTAGGCAACACTAAAGATTTCCACTTATTGCTTTTCAGTCCAAGACAGGAAGTTGAGGAATAAAGTTGACAGGACATCCTGAACTGTCCTCGCTACCAGCTTATGAGGGAACCAGCTGCAGTGGACAAAGTACGTTACATCATAGGATAATAGGTAAGTCTCCGGAATAGTGTTTGTAGCAATTCTCGTACTTGGTCCTGCATCGAAGATTCAGGACTATTGATATTTATCTCTGCATGGTTTGGTTCTTCCCAGAAACATGTTACTGGTGGTGGTCCCTATATTCTTCTGGCTTTTGTGGTGAGGAATGTTTCATTTCTAGCTCTTTTCTGATCACATTTTGTCTATCTAGCTGTTTGTCTGTCTGTCTGTCCATCTGTCTGTCTGTAAACTTTTCATATTTTCGACTTCTTCTCTAGAACCCATGGACCAATTTCAACCAAACTTGCCACAAAGCATCCTTGGGTGAAGGGGATTCAAGTTTGTTCAAATAAAGGGCCACACCCTCATTCAAGGGGAGATAATTGGGAATTAATGAAAATTTGATGGTATGTTTTAAAAATCTTGTTCTCAAGAACCACTGTGCCAGGAAAAATGAAACTTATGGAGAAACATCCTCAGGTAGTGTAGATTTAAATTTGTTCAAATCATGACCCCCGGGGGTAGGGCGGAGCCACAATGGCTGACCAAAGTTTAACATAAAAATATATAAGAAAATTCTTTAAAAATCTTCTTCTCAAGAATGACAAAGCCATAATTAATCCTATTTATATGGAAGCATCCTCAGGTAGTGTCGATTCAAGTTTGTTCAAATCATAACCCCCGGGGTAGGGCGGGGCCACAATGGAAGATCAAAGTTTTACATAGAAATATAAAGGAAAAATCTTTAAAAATCTTCTTCTCAAGAACAGCAAAACCCTGATTGATCATATTTATATGGAAGCATCCTTAGGTAGTGTAGATTCAAGTTTGTTCAAATCATGTCCCCCGGGGGTAGGACGGGGCCACAAAGGATGATCAAATTTTATATAGAAATATATAGGAAAATTCTTTAAAAATAACCTTCTCAAGAAAAGCAAAGCCATGATTGGTCAAGGGACTACTTTTGGATTTAAACTTTTCAATAAAAAACCAATTTTTAGCTCACCTCAACGAAGTTGGGGGAGCTTATGTAATACCCTCGGCGTCGGCGTCGGTGTCAGCGTCAGCGTCCCAGGTTAAGTTTTTTGGAGCAGTTTTCTTTTTAAGTACTTCTATGTCCTATATTGATTAGACATGCATGGAAGATGGTTCTAGTGTGTTTCATTGTACCAGTCAAAGTTTCAGATGCTGCAATTTCAGCAAAGGAATGACCAGGTTAATGTTTTTGGAGCAGGTTAACCTTTTTGGTGCAGTTTTTGGTGTAGGTTTCATTTCCAAGTAACTATAAGCCCTATGTTGACCAAACTTGCATGGATGATACATCTAAGGATGCATACTACCAGGCTTGCTTCGGATGCTGAATCTGACCTACATTTTCCGGTTGAGTGAACAGGTTAAAGTTTTTGGTGCAGGTTTCATTTCCAAGTAACTATAAACCCTATGTTGACCAAACTTGCATGGATGATACATCTACGGATGCATACTACCAGGGTTGCTTCGGATGCTGAATCTGACCTACATTTTACGGTTGAGTGAACAGGTTAAAGTTTTTGGTGCAGGTTTCATTTCTAAGTAACTATAAGCCCTATGTTGACCAAACTTGCATGGATGATATATCTAAGGATGCATACTACTGGGCTTGCTTCGGATGCTGAATCTGACCTACATTTTCTGGTTGAGTGAACAGGTTAAAGTTTTTGGTGCAGGTTTCATTTCCAAGTAACTATAAGCCCTATGTTGGCTAAACTAGCATGGATTATACATATATTAGGATGTATACTACCAGGCTTGCTTTGGATGCTGTATCTGACCTACATTTTCCAGTTGAGTGAATAGGTTAAAGATTTTGGTGCATGATTCATTTCCAAGTAACTATGAGTTCTTTAATGACCAAACTTGCGTGGATGATACATATAAGGATGCATACTACTGGGCTTGCTTCGGATGCTGAATCTGACCTACTTATTGTTGCTGAATGAAAATCTTAGTTTTTGATGCATGTTTCATTTCCAATTAACTATGAGCCCTATAATGAGCAAACTTGCATGGATGATACATCTTAGGATGCACACTAATGGACTTGCTTCAGATGCTGAATTCGACATATATTTTCAGATAATAGACCAGGTAAAAGTTATGGGTGCAGGTCTATTACCAAAAAACTATAAGGCTTATATAACATTGTATAAACCAAACTTGCACAAATGTTGCATCAAGAGATGAAAACTCTCAAATTTGCTTCAGATGCTGGATTTTAATTACATTTTCATGAAGAAGAACTAGTTTAAATTTTTTATGTTGTTCTATTTCAAATTCAGATTAAAATTGCTTAAATATTTTCATCTTTGGAATGTACACTTCTTGTTGGTTAATTGTGTGACTTTGCCTTACTTAAAGACAACATTCGTTGAGGTGAGCTCTGTAATCTCTGATTACCTATGTTTACTTTTTCCTAGCCACAGTGCTCAGGTGAGCGATGTGGCCAATGGGCCTCTTGTTTTTTTTTTTTTTTTTTTAAAAATGATCAATAATTAAATATAAATAAATAAGTTGTTAAAAACTTTGCTTCATATTTGAAGTGCTTTAAACCGACCCTTTGATGAAAGTGACCAGTGTTTTTTGCACCTTGAAAGGTTTATTGGTAAAATATAAGAAGGAAGTTATGATTTTGGTGTTACTATTGTTGTTATTTAAGTTTGATTTGATTTTTATATTACGAGTATTATGAAACTGTTATTTTGTTACTGACCGATTGTTAATTTTAATTGTGAACAAATGTACAAAGATGAGGAGTATAATATAGTTGGCTATGTATATTGCCCAATTTTTGAACATACTATGTAATAAATATTAATAACAACCTTTGAATAATTGGAAAGACAATATTATAAATATGATAGCATTTTTGTACATGAGCATACATTTTTGAAAGGAAAAATAAATTATTCAATTGCATTAAAAAAAATATTTTGTTTCATATTCTTGCGAATTATCAGATCATTCTTCTATTATTTAAATACTCTGTCATTATGAAACCTTGTTAATAATTAAGTAAATATTAATTGTACATTTGCACCAATTTTTACATGGCATTTTCACACTAAGAATGCCACGTGCAAAATTATATACAGGAACAATTCTGAACAAATATATGCAAGTGAGTTGTAAATTTGATATGTAATGCATACATTACAAAAACCCATGACAGTGTTCACTAAAATGAAATGTATGGACTCTTATATAAATACTTGGTATATGTGATATGGATATCATGGATGATATTTTTGAGAATGACACAAGTAATGAAATTTTTCAGCATTGAATTGGATTCTTGAACCAGAGCCATGTGAACCTGGTCCACCTGTACCTCTCATTGAAGACCTGTTAACATCACCAGAGTATGTTCATTCTGATACCCCTATGGTATGGTTACAGCATGCATTATCCCTGAATCCATTAAAAGAGCTGCATTGGCAACGAAACAACCCAATGTGGTCGATTGTAAGGAAATAAAGCATATCAGCTTCCAACTTTGGTGCAGTTCTCAGTTCTAAGCAAAGGCGGTAAGACGTGTGATTAAATTTTTGCGAAAAAGACTTTTAAAATTACAGTCAAACTTTGTTATCTCAAACCCATTATCTCATATTTCATGGATATGTCAAAGTAATTTTGAAGTCCAAACCATTTATAAAAGACTGGGACATTTTATTCTTGATAACTCTTTATGTATTATTCTTGAATCCACGGATATTTCCAACATTTTTCTTGGTCTCATTGAGTTTGAGATAATGAGGTTCGACTGTAATGACTAGATATTTGTACATAAAGATGCAGGAAATATAAGATTAATAACCAAAAATCATATTTTCTTCTCCAGATTGACATTGTCACTGAAGAAACAGCTGATGTCGGCTTACAATCTGGAGTCCATCAAGGCTGTTGCATGCGGTATCACTCATGAAGATGATGCTTTGAGAAAGTATGAAAAGGACTTTGATGCAGCTGTAGAGCAGTCAGGTATACAGCACAAAATAACATTCATTCAACCTCTGACATGTTAACATTCAATGTGTCAAAACAAATAACAGGACTTATCCTGGTGACAAACAGAAATCAATTACTGAAGTCTAATTGTAAAAAAAAAAACTAGAAATATGTCCATAGGACATGAATGCCCCGCTGAGGATATATTAGTAAAGCAACATGAAATTTGTACATGTATAAAATTTGATCAGTTTGGTTCAGGCAGGGCTTATAGTTAGTTGGGAATAAAAATGTAGGTCCAGCATCCAAAGCAAGTCTGGTAGTGTCCATCCCTAGATGCATCATCCATGCAAGTTTGGTCTAAGTAGGGCTGATAGTTCCTTAGGAATAAATCTGCTCCAAAAACTTCAACCTGGTCACTCATCTGGAAAATATAGGTCAGATCCAGCATCCGAAGCAAGTCTGGTAGTGTCCATCCTTAGATGCATCATCCAAGCAAGTTTGGTCTAAGTAGGGCTTATAGTTCCTTAAGAATAGACCTGCTCCAAAAACTTTAATTTGGTCACTCATCTGGAAAATGTAGGTCAGATCCAGCATCCGAAGCAAGTCCGGTAGTGTTCATCTCTAGATGCATCATCTATGCAAGTTTGTATCAACATGTAAAGTTTGATAACACCATCTTGAATGGTATGTTTAAAACTGAGCTAAACACTATTTAAGAAAAGTCAGGTCAAGGTCAAAGGAAAGGTCAAGGTCAAAAAATGTTGTTGCAGTTGCATAGCTCTCATCAATATCTATCAGCATATGAAGTTTGATGAAAATATCTTGGATAGTTTCTTTGAAACTTAGCTTTGAACAGAGCTAAACACAAGGTGGGATGGAAGGACAGAAGGACGGAAGATGGACATGACAAACACTATATGCCCCGGCCATATTCATGGCGGGGCATAAATATTCAGTTACCAACATATTCCAGAAAATTTGCTTTTTGAAGTGGAAGGATTATAAAAGCTCTACTTAGACTTTGTTTGCATTACAAAATCAATTGTATTATGGTTTGTTTGCATTCAGTAGTATTATAATTTTTTCTGAAAAGGATATGGTTGCATGAATCCGGAGTGTTGGGAGCTTCACCTGATGGCTTAGTTGTTCGACCACCAACATGCAGTGTATTTTATCAAACTCCAGAAGCCAAAGACGCCATTCCTGATATTGTAGAGGTGAAGTGTCCATATACAGCATCGTCTTCAACAGTAGCAGATGGGGCACAAAATTTGAAGGATTTTTCATAGGTAAATAACATTAAAAATCTGTATTGTCCAGTACTTTGAAATTAAAAATCTTGGTGAGTAAATGATTTCAAAACATGTACTAATTTACAAGTGCAGCTGTTCAATATGGTATGAAGATAGTGAAAAAGGAGGGGATATGTACTGGTATAACACAACTTAAGTGTTTTTTGATTTTTTTTTAGATCTTAAACAAGATACCCTGTGCCTGAAAACCAGTCACCCATACTATCATCAAATTCAAGGCCAGCTACACATATGTATTAACAAAACATTCTGCGACTTAATTGTGTGGACAAGAGTAGACTGCATTGTGATTAGAATAGTAAAAGACATTGAATGGACAGCAAATGTTCCAAAGCTGATAGATTTCTACATTAACATTTTCATTCCAGCACTGATGGAAAACTGAGTTCTGGTTTGAACTTCTTGACACTTAGTTTTGTACCTCTAGAATTTTCTAACAATGGAAAATGGGTAATCATGTTAAATGTGTTGAATGTTCCTAAGTCTCATAAATGTATGACATGATATGTCACAATCCATCATAAAACTTCTGGCTTATAAGACTATTTTAAATAGCAATGATGATTAATAAAATCTATGTACTACATAAAAAAAGAATATCAAAATTTAGAATCATTTTATTAATGAATTGAAGATGTTATTCTCAAAGTGAAAATGTAACATTTTTGTCTTTCTTAATAGATAAATTGTTGAAAACATGAATTTGTTGAGTTGTGCTTTAAAGGTAAATATACTTTAAACTAGAGATTTAAAATTATAAGTAAACCCTCTTCCAAATTATATTGTCAAATGAAGAATGGAATTGCCAAACATTCTTGTAATAAATCCATGCTAACAAAAGGGATTTTCATTTTCTGAAGTACATGTATTACAACATACTACAAAATTAACAAATATAACCATTGACATTGATAACAAATCAAAATTTGCTTATCCCTTGCACTTTGGTATGAATATCTTCACTGTTTAGTGTATACTGTCACACGCCAATGCAAATTTATAATAAGTACATGTATCTTTAAGTAATTTCTTTCAAAAGTGGAGCTTGCAAGTTTACAAGACAAGAACAGAGTTGAAATATTTTTGTTGAGATTGGTCTGTAAGTAGATGGTATGTAACGGAGAATCTCGTAATTCTTTATCCTCTCGTTGGCTCTTTCCACATGAATAAGTGCTTTAGCAATCTTGAAACACAGTGCTGCTTCTTGTATGGTAAACTGGCCTCGTGTCGATAAAAGAGCTTTTATAATTAAGCAGACACCCTGGGGCAATTGGTCATGAATGGTGAAACCTTTGACCACCAAAATAAGGTCTCCAGCTTTGAACTTTCGTAAAACTTGGCTGTGACGTACAATAGCTACATCAGAAGTAGAACCTGGGTACAGCATGGAGCAAAATGTAAGTGCACCATTTGGAGGCACGCAAGTTACTGCTTTAAAAGTATGGCAACTTTTGTACATACTGTAGGCCATGGCCTGATTATCCATATGTGTTGGGATGTCCTGGGTTGTTTCAATTGCATCCATGGATGCTCTAGCAGAGGAAAAATCCTCAAAAGATTTTGGCAGAGACCCTGAAAAAAAGTTGGAAAAAAATTAATTTGATTATTTGTAATTGTGTAAAAAAATTGTGTTACAGTCAATTTTTCAAGAATACAATAAATTTAACTGCATTAAATTTTTGCAAGTCATTATGATAAATTTTAAAACAAACCTTTGCATTTAAGCTGACTTGGAAAACATTCTACGCTACATTCTACACTACGCCATCAGACAGCATCTTGTATAGGGAAAAGACCACTAATTATTTTCCCATAGAACTCCATACAAACCTTAGGCCTTCTCAGTACTTTACTATGACAATTTCAGAAAAATCTTTAGCATCATTTCAAACTTTGTTCTAAGCCCTAACAAAAAATACTGAAAACAAGAGGCCCATGGGCCACATCGCTCACCTGAGTAACTTGGGTGATGCAGATCTTTTTAAAAGATTTGTTCTATATATATTTCTATGTAAAACTTGGATTCCCCATTGTGGCCCCGCCCTACGCCCGAGGGTCATGATTTTAACAATTTAAAAATCTACACTACTCAAGGATGCTTCCACATAAGTTTCAGCTTTCCTGGCCTAGTGGTTCTTGAAAAGAAGATTTTAAAAGATTTGTTCAATAAACTCTATGTAAAACTTGGATTCCCTATTGTGGCCCCGCCCTAACCTCGGGGGTCATGATTTTAACAATTAAATATCTACACTACCAAAGGATGCTCCCACAAAGTTTCAGCTTTCCTGGCCAAGTGGTTCTTGAGAAGAAGATTTTCAAAGATTTGTTCTATATATTTCTATGTAAAACTTGGATTCCCTATTGTGGCCCCGCCCTAACCTCGGGGGTCATGATTTTAACAATTTAATATCTACACTACCCAAGGATGCTTCCACATAAGTTTCAGCTTTCCTGGCCCAGTGGTTCTTGAGAAGAAGATTTTTAAAGATTTGTTCTATATATTTCTATGTAAAACTTGGATTCCCTATTGTGGCCCCGCCCTACCCCCGGGGGTCATGATTTTAACAATTTAATATCTACACTACCCAAGGATGCTTCCACTTAAGTTTCAGCTTTCCTGGCCTAGTGGTTCTTGAAAAGAAGATTTTTAAAAGATTTGTTCTATATATTTCTATGTAAAATTTGGATTCCCTATTGTGGCCCCGCCCTACCCCCGGGGGTCATGATTTTAACAATTTAATATCTACACTACCCAAGGATGCTCCCACATAAGTTTCAGCTTTCCTGGCCCAGTGGTTCTTGAGAAGAAGATTTTTAAAGATTTATTCTATATATTTCTAGGTTAAACTTGGATTCCCTATTGTGGCCCCGCCCTACCCCCGGGGGTCATGATTTTTACAATTTAATATCTACACTACCCAAGGATGCTTCCACATAAGTTTCAGCTTTTCTGGCCCAGTGGTTCTTGAGAAGAAGATTTTTAAAGATTTGTTCTATATATTTCTATGTAAAATTTGCATTCCCTATTGTAGCCATGCCCTACCCCAGGGGGTCATGATCTTAACAATTTAATATCTACACTACCCAAGGATGCTTCCACAAAAGTTTCAGCTTTCCTGGCCCAGTAGTTCTTCAGAAGAAGATTTTTAAAGATTTATTCTATATATTTCTAGGTTAAACTTGGATTCCCTATTGTGGCCCCGCCCTACCCCCGGGGGTCATGATTTTTACAATTTAATATCTACACTACCAAAGGATGCTTCCACATAAGTTTCAGCTTTTCTGGCCCAGTGGTTCTTGAGAAGAAGATTTTTAAAGATTTGTTCTATATATTTCTATGTAAAACTTGGATTCCCTATTGTGGCCCCGCCCTACCCCCGGGGGTCATGATTTTAACAATTTAATATCTACACTACCCCAGGATGCTTCCACATAAGTTTCAGCTTTTCTGGCCCAGTGGTTCTTGAGAAGAAGATTTTTTAATGACCCCACCCTATTTTCGTATTTTCTTGATTATCTCCCCTTGGAAGGGGTCTTGGCCCTTGATTTTAACAATTTAAATTCCCCTTCACCCAAGGATGCTTTGTACCAAGTTTGGTTAAAATTGGCCCAGTGGTTCTTGAGAAGAAGTTGAAAATGTGAAAAGTTTACAGACGGACGGACGGACGGACACAGACGGACGGACGGACGACGGACACCGGGTGATCAGAAAAGCTCACTTGAGCTTTCAGCTCAGGTGAGCTAAAAATATATGGTCCCATGGCGTTTATAGGTCAAAATTGCAGTTATTTTCAACTTATAGAGATTCGCAGTAAATAACACGCGGCATAAAAAATCAACCCCCACTCCTAAAATCTTCCCTGGCATTTCTATAGTTTCTGTAATATTCCCTCATCCTATCATTTATTTCAAAGGTCATTAATTTTACTTTAAAATGAAAACAATTAAATACCTGATTTCAGCCAATGGCGTAACGCCTACCCATTCAGTATTCGGTTTAATGTTCCATAACAAACAAAGCCATGTGTGCATCCGGGGATTTGGTGCTCTCATTCCTATACTTACATACTTACCTGTCCCAGAATTAGTCAATTGTGGTAATTTCAAAGACTATACACCTACCTGTGAACATGTATGAAATTTGAGTCCTGTGACTTCAGTGTATTGGATACTGTGACCATCTCAAATAATGACACCTTACTGCTACCAGCACAATTCAAAGGAGTGAATGACGTCTGGACCGGTGATGATATTATTCTACCCAGAATTAGGTAAAAAGCTCCAAAATTGGATAAATCATAGTTAATTAAGCAAAATTCAAAAAAATGTTTCAAAAAGACTGATATAGAATTTTTTTATGCTTATGCAAAGTATATTATTTAAGACTCTGATATACTAATTGATTCTTATCTAATCCCTCCTATTGCTTAAGTATGTACAAAAAAGTTTCCCCACCCCCCAGTGAAAAACACTTAAAGAAATAGCAGGTGTCCCCTTTTATTTTTGTTTACAGTTTACAATTAATTTAGACAAGTTTAAATCAATCCTTTTGATAACAAATCAAAGTTCAATGTCTGTAGTCTTATACATTACAATCAGAAGCTACTTTTTGAATTTTATTCTAAGAAAAGGAGAATTTAAATAATTTTTTTTTAAAAATTAAAGAAAAGCAAAAACTGACTTCAAACCCCAAAATGTACTATACAATAAGAGGCTGGAAAGTTAATAAATAAAAAATTTACCTGCAATGTACAGAAAACTGTCCGACAAAATACATCGGGTGGGTAGGGAGTCTCCATTTTCTTCTTAGATAGAGAAAATGCCCCTGCTGATCAGAGACCTAACACTCCCAAATAATAACAAAATATGTTAACATAACAGTCAATATAAGATGTTCATCCCTCAATGGCAACAAGTTTTTATTACAGTAACTGAAATTGTTAGGAAATAGGAAATCACAATTGGAATTCCTTTAAATGTACCTTCTCTTCGTTGTATTTAATATCGTGGATTGATATTGGCTTCCTTTTACTAGACTCTATTTTTAGGGCAAGCAATTCCTTTTCCAGTTGTATTTCTGTTGAGAGGCGCTGCATTTCTTGAGTACAGTTAAATGTGCAGGATGCTGAGTAGTTGTGCTCTGATATCAACTGAAAATATATTGTAAATCATGTACAGTTAAAAGAACTTTATATATTATTAAAAATTATTGAAAATGTTTCAGTGTTGGTCATTTGTCATCATTGGTGTTTTAAATGAGCTTTACTTTTTCTTGATATTGACATTTTGGTGCTTGTGGAATCTGCAACTGGTCCATCTGTGAAGATGACAGGGACTCCTCACTTTTGAGTTTTTTCCTCCTTTGTAAAATAATTAAACTTGAATTATTTTTTTATTCAGTTGTAAGCTACTCTGTTTATACATGTACCCTTTTAAAGATTTTTAGTAAAATATTCTCAATTAAACTCCACCCACCCACCATCCAAAAACAAGATGTCGGTCATATTTTGAAAAATAATTTCACCTTTTTGTACATTCAGGATCAGAGAAATCCATGGCCTTTCCTTCATTCCATGCAAAATATGCAGGGTCCCCCTCCTTCTTACCATCCTTAAAGTGGCAGGAGCAGATGCTATCATTCTGATCTCCTGGTTGGCGATCAGCTCGTCTAAAAATATACATTATACAAAGACTGAGTGAAGGAGAATTAAAAAGCAAAACATGTTCATTTAGCATGTTATTATCAAATAGCCTAAATGACTTATTTTTTCATTATTTTTTTTTTTTTTAAATGTTACATTTACTTGCAAGTACAAGATAACCATGTGCATTATAAACATTAACAAACGGTAGCAGTATTTGGTAGTAATAATACGAAATAAAATGTAATAAAAACAGCTGTTAAACAAAAATTAATCTTGCTACAAATTGCACAGTTTTTGTAGTATGTACTCTTCATTATTCTTCTGCTATATTGATTACTACGAGATTTAACTTTTTAGCATGCATGTATAAATACTGTATCTGACAATGCAGCATCGTGACATATCGTTACAAGTACCTACAAATTTTGTCAATATATCTACGTTTACTGAGTTTTTTCCCTAGCAGGCCGAAATATCTCCATCATGTCACCAGGAACAACACTCGTGCATCTCGTAATTAGTGCTGCAATAAACAAACTGATGTGTTTTTTCTCACCTGCATGGTTTTCCCGACGCTTCAGCTACTTTCGTTATTTCTAACCAATGAAAATTGTCCTTACTTTTCTGTTGCGTCATGCAATTTTATTGCACGCATCACTGAATTGTAGAACACACATCACAAGATTTCGAATATACATCACAAGATTATCGAACATACATCACAAGATTTCGAATATACATCACAAGATTTCGAACATACATCACAAGATTATAGAATATACATCACAAGATTTCGAATATACATCACAAGATATTGAATATACATCACAAGATTTTGAACATACATCACAAGATATTGAATATACATCACAAGATTTCGAATATACATCACAAGATTTCGAACATACATCACAAGATTATAGAATATACATCACAAGATTTCGAATATACATCACAAGATATTGAATATACATCACAAGATTTTGAACATACATCACAAGATATTGAATATACATCACAAGATTTCGAATATACATCACAAGATTTCGAACATACATCACAAGATTATAGAATATACATCACAAGATTTCGAATATACATCACAAGATATTGAATATACATCACAAGATTTTGAACATACATCACAAGATATTGAATATACATCACAAGATTATAGAATATACATCACAAGATTTCGAACATACATCACAAGATTATAGAATATACATCACAAGAATATTATAGAATATACATCACAAGATTTTGAACATACATCACAAGATATTGAATATACATCACAAGATTATAGAATATACATCACAAGATTTCGAACATACATCACAAGATTATAGAATATACATCACAAGATTTCGAACATACCTCACAAGATTTTGAATATACATCACAAGATTATCGAATATAGCAACGTTTGACATGCCATAGATACAAATGTAAATTTTAGAATTCTTTCACAGGAGTTAGTCTTTGTTCCATTTAGAAAAAGTTTTTTACTCAAAGTATATATATAAAATATACATTTTTCGATTAACGGAAAAGACACATACCTTAAACAATACACTTTTATGGCACAACCTCATTCGTATCAATTTTTAAATTGAGTTCGAAATCGGAAGTCATGGAATTTTAATTTTTTTCCTTTAAAAAATTCCGCAGAAAAGTTTTGTTTGTCATTATTTCATATCCTTCAATAATAAGAAATAAACTCCAATTACTAAATTCATAAACTGAATGTAAATATCACCTTCATAACAGATTTGAAGGTATATAACATTAGACATTTTACACACCCTTTTGTCCTTCTCCTTTATTTCACATCATTTCGGAATTTTGAGAGTCGTTCGTGAACTTGATTTTTACAAGGCAATGGTTGTTTCCTATTAAAATTTCGTTGCGTAAGCTCTGATCGTTGACGGCAAAATATAGAATGTAACACGAATGGATGGATGATTCATTAAATGTAAATCATAACAGGGAAGTTTTATCTAATGTGAGTTGATTCTGGTCGAGGTTTAACGAAGTTTGGGTTTGTTTCTTTTTTGTTCAACAACCTTCATTGTCAACAAGATAGGTAACATGAAGAGTTGAAGACTGTTCAAGTTCAAGTTGTTTATGTAAAATTATATTGTTTCGTAATAATTATACTTTCATATGGAACTATTTACTTGTGTGTATTTCGTTTATACATTCGTCAAATACTGTATACAGGGAAATTTTCGCCCCTTTCGCCCTTGTCACAAGTGGGCGAATTTAAAACGAAGCAAACTCAAAGAACACTGTATAATTTCTTAAACAGAACTGTGACTGGGCGAATTTAAAACGGGGCAAAATTGTTTGCAAGTGTAAAATGGCGAAAATAACACGTGGCAAAAATAATCCTGTTCACAGTAAGAAAAAAAATCAGAAATCTGGAGGTTGTCTACAATAGCAAGTCACACTATCATGTATACACAGCACCTATGACCTTTTTTTCAAGAGCTATAATACCTACAATTGTTTGTTTAGGTTAGTCCAGAAGAATACTCGTTTGTTGTTCCTATTCAATATCTTGCCCAGACTTCATCCAACAGCTGAATTTTTTTCCATGGGTGCAGAGATGTCAAAGACAACAATGCCCACGCCAGAGGATTCTCTGAAAGGTGAGTTATGCAACAACTAGGTGAGCAATAATGCGCAATAACCAACTATTTCCCTCTGTTTTGCCTTCAGAAATAGTTCTGGCTGGAATTGTATTTAAATGTAACTGTATTATATTCTTAACATCTCTTAAAAGGATTGTTTAAAGTCTGCAGATTTTGTTCTCCATTTTTCAACTTAAAATCTCTATTTAAAAATACTAGTATATATTGGAAATATATTCAGATATTTAACAAGGTGGGTATAGATTTTGTTATGCATGTGTTATTTGGGCAATGAGAGAGTTTTACAAATAAATCTTTTTAAATGAAATCGTCTTAATATTTCCAACCTTTTTACATGCAAGTTCTTGAATAATGTATGTCCTCTTATTTTCAATTATTATTGTGGTAGATGAACTGTAAAAATTTCAATTTGCTACACAGGGAGAGAAGAAAAAATGATAGTTTCCAACAAACATGCTGTCAATGGGAACCCCACTGTTCCACCATTCCCAGAGAACACAAAGATGGCAATGTTTGGTGAGTTAACTGTGATACTAAATTAGTGTAATTGTGAATTTGAATCTCTCATTTTTACTTTATTCTTGTTTTCTTAACTTGTGATACTTTTGAACCCTTTGATGTGATGTGGTAAACATTTGATATTTTGCTCTTCAGCAAAGATTTGACATTTGGAAAGAAAACAAGTCAATTTTATAGTACAATTGTGTACTAAACTGAGATTCTTGAAGGGATTAAAAAATCTATATTATGAACAGAAATTTCAATCTTAAAAAAGACATACTAGGTATGTGAAGACAGCAATAATTACCGTATTGTTGGACAGCAATCTCCTCAGTGACAGTAAGTTAAAATGTGTAGAGTTACTGTTTTATCAGTAAGTTCTGGTCTTGAAAAATATGTGTAAATCATTTTTAAAGTAGAAAAGGCAAGACTTCATGATCACATTCCTGAAAAACACAGTAGGGGTTTGAATTATTACTATAAACCTATAAAAGGATTTTGTTGATTTTTATCAATGTCTAGTATTTTTATCTGTTTTATTTGACAAGTTTATTGTCTCCTGTTCATTCTTATCTGAAGGACTGGGCTGCTTCTGGGGTGCTGAAAGAAAGTTCTGGAAAACTAATGGAGTATTTTCAACCCAGGTACATGCATATTTTAAGACTGATACACATGTAATAATTATGTTAAATTTGTGATTAATTATCTTGTCGATTAATTCTACCTAATGATTAAGTCTTTTTTATTACATTTAATACACCACACTTTAACCCTGTTTTGCTTAAGGTGGGCTATGCTGCTGGGCATACCCCTAACCCTACCTATAAAGAAGTATGCACTGGATTCACAGGCCATAATGAGGTGGTTAGAGTAGTGTACGAGACCAACAAAACCTCTTATGGAGAATTGCTCAAGGTTAGTGGAGTTGATGAATGGTAAAGCATTACTTTTTTGGGTAGACAATCTTTTAGTCAGTGTATTTATGATGATACATGTACATGTACTGACGATTGACTCACTGTGAATGTGAAGCTTTTCCCCTACTAGGAAGATGAATCATTTTAAACTGAAAGCCTTTTGTTTTTAATTTGGCAATAGGTCTTCTGGGAAAATCACAATCCAACACAGGGGATGCGACAAGGAAATGATGTAGGAACTCAGTATAGATCAGGCATTTATTATTACGACGAGGAACAAAGAGCTCTGGCTGAAGCCTCTAGAGATGTGTATCAGCAAAAACTAAATGAGAAAGGACATGGGAAAATTACCACAGAAATCCTCCCTGTGCCAGACTTCTATTATGCAGAAGACTATCATCAGCAATATTTGCACAAAAATCCCAATGGTTACTGTGGACTTGGAGGGACAGGGGTTTCTTGTCCAGTGGGGTTATTTGCCAAGGGAAAAAGTGAATTATGAGTGTCAAGGGCTTATAAAAAAGATGTTCTTGTGATATTATGATTTGATATTTATATTTTGAATGTACCTAAATCTAAATGTTCACATGATATAAACTGACTATAAAATGATTATACAGTTATACATACACAGTTTTTATTGATATTTTGACACTTTAGAGTTTGTTTTAGCCACATATAAGTTAAGTAGAAACAATGTTTTATACATTAATATGGATGAATAACACAGATGTCAATCCATGTGATTCCTAACTGTACATGTCTCCAGCTTTGGAATCATTGGATGCCCCCAGGGTCATTTTAAAGTTGTCAATTTTTCTACTATTCATGTGAGAGGTAAACAAGGGTTGGAAGTCTTGCTAAAAAATCTTACTTATGAAAATATGTTCAGTAGCCCAATCCATTAAAAGATATATCCGTTAATTTTCCTCTCAGTGTCCTCTACGGTAGTCATACGTATGACAGTGTTATTAAGCATGAGTAGCCAAGTGAACCTGGACAAGACTCCATATTATAGAACGCCAAATTAACATATATTCAAATATTTGTACCTATCTTCAAATAATTGTACGTATCTTCAAATGAATTGAAGATAGGTACAATTGAATTGAAGATAGGTGTAAAAAAAAATATACCTAGGTACAAATGAATTATACCTGTCTTTAATGGAATTACACCTATCTTCAATTCATTGAAGATAGTTTCAATTGAATTATACCTATCTCTAATCCATTTGAAGATAGGTATAATTGATTTAAAGATAGGTACCATTGATTTGAAGATAAGTTCAATTAAGACATATCCACAAAGGATTTGAAGATCGATACAATTCAATTATACCTAGGTTCAATTCGTTTTGTGTTGTTGAAAATAATGAATGCTCCCTTGGAGACAATATTGAACATGGAGGGAAACACACAGAACCTACAGAGCGACGACAACGAGGATGAAAGGAGAAATAAAGGTAAATTCAAAATGTTCAAAAAACATCATATTCTTATTAAAATACACATGTATATCATGTATGTATATCTTGTACGGCAGACGGATGAAGATTCCGATGACCTTACGCGGTAGCTATGACGTATCGGAAAGTACGTATGATAAAGGGAGTATGTATTATTATTGCCAATATCTTGGTAATTAAAGGTAGGTTCAAATCAATTGTACCTATCTTTAAATCAATTATACCTATCTTCAATTCATTGCATTTGTACCTGTCTTCAAATTAATTGTACCTATCTTCAAATGAATTAAAGATAGGTATAATTGAATTGTACCTATCTCTAATTCATTTGAAGATAGGTACAATTGATTTAAAGATAGGTACAATTCATTTGAAGATAGGTACAAATATTTGAATATACATGTATGTTAATTTGGCGTTCCATAAGACTCCGTACTGGAAAATCAGACAATCCTATTTGTCGATGTTGAGCAACTTCTGTTTCGTTTCCTGCTATAGCCATTCTGCTGATTTTCATGCCCCTAAGAGCGTGGTCGTCCCATCTGCTGAGGCATTTTAGGGGATTTTCGATGATAGAAGGAATCCTTTTTGTGAAATATGACATTTTTATTACCCATTTCTTGAGAGCTTCAGTTTATCATAACGTCAAAAACACACTATAACGACGTCAACCTACATATCAATTGCAAAATCGGTTAAAAAATCAGTTGTATAAAATTGTAATTACATTTTTAAACCTGTTATTTCTTAAGTTTGTTTAATTTTATTAATCAAGTGAAAAAAGTTGCTTTAAAACAGTACATACGCTTCATTTTACTATGATGCGCAAAATATTGCGCAATGAAAACCAAATTCGCCCCCCTTAATGCCCTGAGTGTCGAACATAGGTTGAAACTGGCATACGATGATGCCTCTATATGAGCAAAGAACACACCATCAACACGTTATTCAATCCATTTGAATTGCTTTTTGTTAGCTTCTTTTCCACTCCATACCTTTCCTCTTTTTTAGCCCGGTGGATCTTAAATCCAGTGGGATTCTTTTCGGACTTACCACTTGGTATACACAGTTTTATAAAGAATGATCTTTTTTCCACAGGCGTCATGTCAGGTTACTGGGATGTTTTGCTCTAGAATTTTTAACCCTATTCATACTCTAAAATATTTTAAAAGACACATTTCCGCTGGTATCCCATTCTTTCTTGGATGTTACTTAAAGGTCATATTAACATACTTTTCGAATTTTATGTTTAGTAAGTTTAAGAATCTTAAATTAAATACATGTAGATATCTATAAAATCTACACCTTTTTATAATGCACTTTAGGATGGTAAGTTATATCTACTACCGGTATTTAAACGTCTATGTTATATCCCAAAGAAGTTATTTGATATAAATCTCGTAGACTTTGAGAATAAGGAATATCATAAACCTTGTCAGTTGATGCACCTCAAAACCCAAACGTGTTCAAATCATAATGTTTGCGCTTGCTCTTCAATTTCTTAGAACTTTCACTAGGCCAATAGGCCTGTTTGTTTTATGTGTGTAAACTTTTGCTTCTCCCCATCCCTATAAAAAAAGGCCCTACTCCCTCCTCCTCGTCAGTTTGTAATCCTTTCAATCGATGTCCTGTACACATTTGTATATGTGCATAAAATGGAGATGATTAATTTCAAAGCTTTTTGCAGGCACTTCTGATAACTAGACGTCCTTGTGTGAACTAATCTTATCTACATTCACCAGGGTCATGTTTTGCTGGACTATGCCACTCACCTTTCTACTTTTTATGTGTTTTATCCAAGGTGAGATGCATGAATTCTGCTTTTTTATGAGTGAAATATGATTTCTGAAGACTCCTCAGACTCACTGTTTAAGATGTTACAAAACACTATGTAGTCTACATGAACTTCTCTCTACTCTTAATTTTGAACATGAGTTTCAAATGAATTCATTACAGCAAAAATTACATATGCTACTCATGGAGAATGCTCTGGCGATCACTGTAAGAACATTTTGCAATCTTATCAGTATTTTGATACTTTGAAAACATTTTCATACTGTTTTTATCTTCAAACCTTCATAATATTTTTCATTTCTTTAGGCATTCCATGCCACCATTGCAAGCATTTGATTTGTGAACCTCCGTCAAAATTAACATGTTCCTCTATCGTTAAGAGGGTTAAATACGATGGAAGTCATCACCACACAGACGATTGTCATTGTCAACCTCACGATTACTGCGATTCCATTTTTACCTGCGACAACTGGTCGTGTCAAAATAGTCAGGAGAAGGCGTTCTGTATAGATCACCAGTGTGTATGTAAAAGTGTCGATTTCTGTCCATCTCAGACAAATCAACACTGCATGCATTTGAACTGTTCTGTAGGATTTACATCTATCTGCAACACAAGTAACTACTGTCAATGTACCCCTTTGACTGACACCTGCAGCGGAAATAACGTTAATATATGCCATAATAAATGTCAACGTTTCCAAAAATTGGTCTGTGTTCAGGGAAGCCATACGATTACTGTAACCAGCTTGATGCAGTCTGTGTGGACTTCAGTTGTAATACAGATGTTGGAGAAACTCCATTTTGCAACGAAAGCCAGTGTCAATGCCGCCTCGTTGCAGAAAGGTGTACAGGAAATGACATCACCACTTGCCAACATCTTAATTGCAGTTATTATCACGTAAAGGTTTGCAGAAACGGAACTTGTGAATGCCAACTGAACCCATGTGAGTGATCCACACAATGAATTATTGTTGTCATTTATTTTAATAATTATATGAGACCTAATTTTTTCTCATTGACTGTCCTTTGGATTCTTTTAGCCTGTATCTCTAACTCAGACTGCACGGAGAACAACACAGTAATGGGGTTTGGAGAGAAATGACCTATTTAAGGTGTCTTCCAATTAACAATCTCAACCCAGAGTGTCTTAATGGAAGATGTCAATGTAGTTTCAAATTTCAGGTTTTCATTTTAAAATACACAACTTTTTGAAATACTAAGTACCTTGTATCGCTAAATTTAGATTCTGTATTAAATTTAATTCTGTATAATTTGATAATCTCAGACAACAGGGGCAACAAACACCGCAACAACGGGAACAACAACTGGATCGCTCGAAGTCAAATTTACTCTTGATATCTCGAAATCTCGAAACCCTTGATCCCTCGAAGTAAAATTGCTGTCCCACTGTGCATATTCTATTGAAATTTACCCTTGATACCCCAGACGCGGGTGTCGTGAAACGGGATGTTTATTCAGGTGACACTTATTCTGCAAGGTGATAATTGATTTATAATTAATCTTATGGTGCCTATATTCTATCAAAATAATTATCATCGTATGTATTTCGATAATTCAGAAACGTAGTGTCGTTCATTAAATTTTTATTTCGAATCAGTTTTAAAGTTTAAGGAAATATGAAAATTCAGAAACAGCCTCGCTGTCAATATCACGACTTTTGTTGGACAAGATACATACAGAATTTTGTTCAGTGTACATGTTTGGAAAAGTCACAATGCTCTGTACCACGCGACGCTGGTAAAATGCCGTTTTCGTATAACGAATGCGTAGAATGATATCCATATGATAAAAAAAGTAAATAAACACGAACTGACGATGTACATTTTTTGCTTCACTCAGTTTAATAAAATATTCATCTAAAATACGAAAACTTTAATAAATATTCATCTAAAATACGAAAACATATCATTGTTTTGTAAAAATCACGAGTAAAAGGTAAGGACTGCATAAATTCATTACATCCGTTATGACTAATTTTAAAACCTGTCAAACAAACCCGGAAAAATCCGAACTCTTGAAAACTCGAACTCTTGATCTCTCGAAGTTTTTCCTCGGTCCCGCGGACTTCGAGGTATCGAGAGTTACCTGTATTTAATTCATGCACCTGTTTACGATTATTGCAAGCCACTCTCGGTTTCTTTTATTTAATCTTTATTTGCCTATTTAGGAGTGAGAGTGTGGATGCCGATTTCATTTCACAGTCAGAAATTCAAATTTAATCTTCATTTAGACAATTTTCTACTTATAGAAACTAGTTCACCGCCTTGGCTAATGCCACTACCTTGGCTAATCATATTGTATTTGATGCTTAACCCTTTCATACCTTACTTTATTGCAATCATCCAGAACAAACAAAACAAAACCAAGTGGATAATTTTGAATTCTTGAATAAAGGAATTTGAAAAAAAAACTGACGTTGGGTTTCAAAATTTATTTTTTTTTTAATTCCTTTGTGAATGAGACATTTTTTCAGCTTCGCCTCGGTCATGTCATCAGTGTGGAGATCCTGCAGCCAACATTCCATGTGACTTAAGGATGGTTTATCTAGGAAGTCTACGGGAATGTGCCAGTGGAACTTACTGCATGACGGACGTTGTTCAAAGTAGTGATGGGAGGGTCGCCTTTTATAAAAGGTAGTCTATAACTGCATTATATAGCCCTCTGCGATCTGTTTTCCCTTTTAAATCAAACTTATTTTAACATACGGACAAGAATTTACCGGGGACTATCTTTTTAAAGTCTGCAGTGGCAATATGGGTGATTGCTAGTATATAAGAATTTGATGAAAGTAGTTTCGTTTCTCAAATCTACAGTTAGTATTTTTACATAACCAGATGTGTGGACGAGCTGACCTGTAGGAACGAGTGGTTAGCCCAGACTTCTGACCAGGACCGCTGTCTGAAGTATGCAGAGGGCGCTTTACCCGGACAGTACACGTGTCATTACTGCTGCACAGCAGACGGCTGTAACTCGAAAATAGTCCCGGAGGCCAAATATTTCTACAGCACCTCCTCATCTAACATCAATTAAAGAAAAGAATTATTTGTGTATTAGGTCTCTGAATCAAGCTTGTTTGAGTCATGGGCAAAAAAAACCCCCGCATTTCTGACTCCAATTATGAATACTGTAGATCACTAAATTTTCGCGACACCTTATTTTCGCGAGATAGTCATTGACTCTTTGTGAGCGAGACATAATTTCCACGAATTGTTGTTTTTCCTCTATATAATCGTAAGGAATACTTTAAAACGCGAGAATGAAATTTTCGCGAGCTCATTGTCTCGTGTAAGTACGCGAAAATAAAGTTCTCGCGTATAAACGTGTCGCGAAAATTTAGTGATCTACAGTACATATGTTAGATTGGTGCTAAAAATGTAATATATTTTTTACCTATATCGGATTGTGAATTGACCGATTTTAACTGCATGTAAGTAGTTCCATGCATATTTTTTTTCTTTTGATTTTTAAAAATTAATTCCTTTCAGTCTATTTTTACAATTTTGGTACCTGTGTCTGGTGCATTTTACGTACTTTATAAAAAGAAATTGAAATGAACTTTTTTTTCAGAGGCATAGGTAGCTACTTCCTGGGGTAGAAGGTTATTTTTTTTTTAACTAAGAAAGCTGAGAGCTTAGGATACACCTCCTGAAATCTGCTGCCGTTAATTGGTTTGCCAAGTTAAGGGGAATATGGGTGATTTGCATCAATTACACCTTTATTTACTCCATCGATTTCTTGTCGTGCTAGTGAAGACTAGTACTTTTCCCCTAACTTTCAACTTGTTGGTTTAATACAAAGTCTCATTCATCATCACTCAAGAACAGGCTTTTATTTTGTATAAGGCTTTATTCAGTCAGTAAAAGAGCAATCAATATTCCTTGAATACTTGTCATTAACAATGAACATTCATTTTTAAAACTTACTGAGTTTCTTTAATAACCAGCACCTGAAATAATATGAAGCAACACTCGCCTTTAACAGACCAATGACCAAGTGCAGTAAAGTAAATTTATTGTAACCCAAAAACGTCTTCATTTTCCCTTTACATGTACCATATCTTGTGCACTTATTTATTCTTTTAAAAACTTCTAATACATGTATTTATAGACTCACAAATAGTTCTCTGATAGAATTTTTTTTTAAAAATGATTAAGTGCAGCTTAATAAAGGTTAATGATTTTAACCCACAAGACCATTCATTAGAGGTTTTCATAACATTACTATATATAATAAATGTTAGTATTAGGGAGTTGTCTCCCCCTATCCTTTTACTTAATGATTTTATACAAATTCGCAGTAATCGTCACTCAGGCACAGGCCTTTATACTACATAAGTCTTTAGGCAATTGGTATTAGATCAGTGAGATTCGAGAGCACTAATCAATAAGTTTCTGATACTGATTTTTCTCACTATTCTAAGTGTTTCACAAACCAATGACACATTTATAAAGGCCAATTAAACCTCAAAAGATATATACTATCTCTAAAAAACGTCATTTTCTTTACCACTGTCATAATCAAAAGCAGCATTCCAGCTGATCAGAATGTTTTATATCTCTGCCAGGAATTGGTCGGTTAACATAGTGAATATGACTTTCCATTTGTTTCCAGATGTCTCTGTTTGTATAGATAATGATCTGATTTGGTTTGTCTCTTTATATTGATAACGGTCAGAAAACTTATGTGGATATTCATGTACGAGATCATTGGCCTCGTCATGATTTGCATTTTCCTCTTTAAAAGAGTTTTTTTTTCCCTTTCTTACTTGGAAAGGGATGTTTTCTATTTAAATCATTTTCGATTATATAGAACTGCAATGAGTAACGATACGCTAACTTGGGCAGTGTCATGCACCCCTCATCTCAATTAACAAACCACTGATTCAAAACACAGCTTTTAAAGGTAAAGTAATTTTAACTTGCAACTACAAGCCTTGGAATGGTTCAAATCTATTTACCTGTATTGAAAATTTGTATCTGATATTGCTTAAATGTTATTTTTGAAACTTTTTAATAAAAAGTGTCCAAGTTATCTTCCCCTAACTGTTAGCTTGTTGGTCTTGTGCAAATTCTCAGTCATCATCGCTCAAAAACATGCTTTTATTCTGATTTAGGCTTTATTCAGTCAATAAAAGAGCAGTCAATATCCCTTGAGTACATGTCATTAACAATGTACAATCATGTCTGTAATAAGCAGCATATGAAATGATATGAAGCAACACTCGTCATTAACAGACCAATGACCAAGTCCAGTAAAGTAAATTTATCATAACCCAGAAACGTCTTCAGTTTCCCTTTACATGTACCATATCTTGTGTACTTATTTATTCTGTTAAAAACAGATCTTATCTTTTTGTTTTTCTTCATTCATTCATTTATTTTTTAGATATAAAGTATTTTAATTGCACTTAAGGGTAAAGTGTCATCAAGCAAACTTGTATGAACACGCTGTACACTTTACGAAAAGCAAAGCGTGTCATGCCACAATAACTTGACATCACCAAATGACAGCTTGTACATTTTGCCATTTTGCTTTAAGGTTAGACTGCCATGTGGAACAATTCACTGACACGCTACCCTTAAATTTGTATGTAGACTGACATGGCTGATATCGGCCATCGTACTCGAGAGTACTTTACAGTACGTGTGTGAGAGTGAGCACTTCTCACTACTCAAAGTGATTCTCAAATCAATGGTACATTTTTGAAGGCCATTCACATCTTGAAAGACAATTTGCTCAATGGAGACATTGAATCTCAAAAACACTCTTTTTCTTCACCAAATTCATGCATTAAACATAAAATCAAAATCACTTGTCTGAGACAATGTTGAAGCCTTTGCCAGGAAATGGTCGCTACACATAGTGGACATTCCTTTCCATTAGTTTCCGGACGTGTCTACCGTGCTTGTAAATAATGGACTGATTTTGGTTTGTCTCTTTATATTGAAAACGGTCGGAAAAGTTATGTGGAGATTCATGCACAAGATCATTGGTCTTATCATGATTTGCAAATAGCTCTTTTAAGGAGTTTTTTAATTTCTAAATTTTAAAATTATTTGCTCATAAATAATTTTAGAGAGTGTAATTTTTATCTATTTAATATGGAGTTCTACATGTTTCATGCATTTTGAATCTTAATAAATAATATATCAAAACGAATTTGATGCATTGCCAATGAGATTCAAACAAACAGAGATACGGGAAAAAAAGGAGGAGGGATCTTTTACCGTGAATTACAGGTCATCATACCTATATCTGTAGAATAAAGAATCTGCTGTAAACCTCCTCAAAGTTTGCACTTCTGTCAAATTCTTTTACTCCTGCCTCTCTTATCTAGTCATTTGATTAAAATTTTATAGTTCGTACAATCACGGACAGTAAAGTTTCTGACTCTATCAGTGATATTGCAGTCATCTAATATTGAAATTCTCTGAAATCAGAGTACAGTCGTTTATCTTATCAATCAAAATTTTCTTTCGCCAGTTGTAAATTCTACAAATTCATTCGCTTCTTCTATCTAAAGCATTCTTTATGATTTATCTGTATTATTTACAAGTCTACAATTATGCTGATGTTGTAACCAGTGCAGTGTCATGCATCCCTACCAGGTATCTTCTGAATTAACAAACCACAAAGAATGAAACATCGCTTTTAAAAGAAAAGGATTTTTAACTTGCAATTACAAGTCTTGAAATTGTTTAAATAGATTTACATGTTTTAAAAAATTTCTATATGCAATTGCGTTAACTTCCCCTTGCTTTCAACTTGTTGGTTTTATAGAAATTCTCAGTCCTTATCACTCTAGAACAGGCTTTTATTCTGATTTAGGCTTTATTCGGTCAATAAAAGAGCAGTTGATATCCCTTGAGTACTTGTAATTAACTGCTAACAATCATTTTCGAAACTGAGTTTCTGTAATAAGCAGCATATGAAATGATATGAAGCAACACTCGTCATTAACAGAACAATGACCAAATCCAGTAAAGTAAATTTATCATAACCCAGAAACGTCTTCAGTTTCCCTTTACATGTACCATATCTTGTGTACTTATTTCTTCTGCTAAAAACTTCTAATACATGTGTTTATAGACTCACAAATAGGTCTCTGATAAAAGTTTTGTTATAAATGATTATGTGCAGCTTAATTAATTAAAGTAAATGATTTTGATCTCACAAGAACATTCTTGAGTTTTTCCATATATCACTATAATAAATGTTTAAGTTATCTCCCCCTAACCTTCTACTCAATGATTTTATGCAAATTCTCAGACATCGTCACTCAGGAATAGGCTCTTATACTATAAAAGTCTTTAGGCGATCGAAAGCAGGTGAGGTAATCTTGAAAGTACTTGTCTGTAAGTTTGTAAGAGTGAGATCTTCTTACTAATCAAAGTGACTCACAAACCAATGGTACATGTTTGAAGACCACTCAAATCTTGAAAGATAATTTGCTCAATGGAGACACTGAATCTCAGAAACTCTTTTTCTTCACCAAAATAATGCATTAAAGGGGCTGGGAGTTGCAACCATTTTTAGACTATTTCGATCTCCTGTAGAAGAAGAGCTCCATATAAAGATCTACAAAAATGATTAAATTTTAAAACTAAAATGTATGATTTTTTTCTTTGCCAAATGATAGTTAACAGCTTAAGATACCGTATCTAAAAAATAAGTTAAATCTGGTGATTAATTTGTGGTTAATTTGTTGACGCCCCAGCCTCCTTAAACATAAAATCAAAATCACGTGCCTGAGAGAATGTTTACATATGTAAACATCTACCTCTGCTAGGAAATGGTCGCTAAACATAATGAATATCCCTTTCCATTGGTTTCCGGACGTGTCTACTGTGCTAGTAAATAATTAACTGATTTTTGGTTTGACCCAGGATAATGATCTGCATACCTTTATAAATACATGTTGTTCATAAAGATGGTAAAATAAATTAGAAACTTTAAAGAAAATATTGAACTGGAAACATACATTTTCCAACTTTCCCCCAAATTTTGGTGAATTGTTCAATCATAAAATT